TTGCTTGAAGTCCAGTGTAAAGTTTCCACAGTCAGTGATGGTTTGGGGTGCCATGTCATCTGCTGGTGTTGGTCCATTGTGTTTTCTGAGGTCCAGGGTCAACGCAGCCACATACCAGGAAGTTTTAGAGCACTTCATGCTTCCTGCAGCTGACCAACTTTTTGGAGATGCAGATTTCATTTTCCAACAGGACTTGGCACCTGCACACAGTGCCAAAGCTACCAGTACCTGGTTGAAGGACCATGGTATCCCGGTTCTTAATTGGCCAGCAAACTCTCCTGACCTTAACCCCATAGAAAATCTATGGGGTATTGTGAAGAAGAAGATGCAATACACCAGACCCAACAATTCAGAAGAGCTAAAAGCCACTATTAGAGCAACCTGGGCTATCATAACACCTGAGCAGTGCCACAGACTGATCGACTCCATGCCACGCCGCATTGCTGCAGTAATACAGGCCAAAGGAGGCCCAACTAAATACTGAGTGCTGTACATGCTCATACTTTTCATGTTCATACTTTTCAGTTGGCCAACATTTCTATAAATCCTTTGTTTTTATTGGTCTTCAGTAATATTCTAATTTTCTGATATGATGAATTTGAGATTTTCATTTGTTGTCATTTGTGATCATCAAAATTAAACAAAATAAACATCTGAAATATATGAGTTTGTATGTAATGTATGAATATAATATACAAGTTTCACTTTTTAAATGGAATTACTGAAATCAATCTACTTTTTCATGATATTCTAATTTTATGACCAGCACCTGTATTCTTTATGATTTTTCCAGAATTGGTATTGGAATGATATTTAATGTCTATTTTAGGGGGGATGAAAATGGGTGGAAATTATGTTTTTTTACAGCATATTATTTGAGACTTGACTGCCGCTCCACCCAATGCTTATTTTTATCAGCTGGTTCTTGGTTCTCTAAACAGAGCTTTTTAAATACGGTAATCAGTCATGTTTGACTTGATTTCATGAACCAGATAATGTATATTGTTTCTTCTCATGACCTGAACTTGTGGTTGTAACAAATTAATCTGCTGCACCTTTACATATCACAATTATGCAACTACACTACATGGGAAAGAAATGAAAAGAACAAAAATAAAATAATAATAATAATCTGCTTAATTGCTTATTAGGGATTATAGCATAATTCAAAGAGGGAACCAAAAGCTAAATGGTCTAGATAATCACAATGGATCCTGTGGAGACATGAATCCCCACACCTTCTGACTCACCAGACATGAGGGGGCAAACTGGGAAACCGTGTCTGACTAGGCTGCACTGACTGGCTTTAAAACACTTCTGGTTTACAGCAATCCCCATTAAAATCCAGAGTGGATGCGTTTCAACAAAAAAAAAAAAAAAAAACAGCAAGAGGGACATGGTACTTCCCATATTAGAAGTAGATCTTTCACTCATTCATTCTCTCTTTTTAGTTAACATATAAGAAAACAATAAAATCTGGATAAATTTGAAACTCATGTTTCCTGACTGAAACAGGCCAATGCTGCTAACCAAGTCAAAATCAAACACATAGACAGCAGATTAAAGTGAACCGACTGAGGACTTTACACCTTCACAACAAAATTACAACCACTTCCTGCCAATAAACCTTTCCTTTTTCTACACAGAGGCTAGATTGACAGCTTTAACAAACTCAGCTTTAAAAAAACAGCTCAAAGTTAGTGTATGTGTGAAAACTGACAAAAGTTTGTACTTCCTAAGTAACTTTCACAAGTAGTGTTGTATTCTTCAAAATGCTCAGCGTATAAGGCATGATGAAAGCAGAAGTAAATGACGGTCGGTTCAGAGGCCCACATTCCTCAGACTGCCCAGGCCGGCTTGTCCTGTTGCTGCTATGTGGCATTAGGCAAAACAAACATGATTGTCCTGCAGTTTTCCCTGATTTCTATGACACAACATCCTCAGTAAGCAAACAGGCTGGATCCAAATGTCCAGACTTTAGAGGTTGATGTTCAGCTGTGTGTTGGCAGAAGCACCGCAGGAAAACAAAATAAACAAGACAGTTTCCAAGAGTACATCCAGCCCTTGTGGTATCAACAGTGTTGGAGAGAATTTTATATCTTATATTATCTTATATGATTAAAACATTTGGAAACTTTCGATATTAGCTGATAAACATTTCCCTAATTTGTATTTGAGCACACCATCTTTCACCGAACTGGCAGTTTGGTTTGGTAGATCCCTCTAAACCTGATTTCATCTGAAAGGGACTAAAGGTTAAACATGTCTTAACTTTCCAAAACATAAACCTGCGTCTGCATAAGAGGCCACTAAAACTCGTTACCCGTTCACCATTTAATTTTCTGCAGCTTTTAAACTAATATCCTCAGGTCATGTTTCCATTTAAAGATAAAACAAAATACCTGTTTTCCATTGGAAGAATTAAGAATGTAACTATATTGTCATTACACCGTTACAACTACAAAACAACAAAAATTAGGTAAGCTAACACTATCTATCACTAACGATGCCTAATGTTAGAAAAAAAAAAGATTTATTAAATTATACTAAAACATGTTGTTGCTATTGATTTCGGTGCATCCCTATCAGTCAGTGATCATGTTTTTAGAGTGATTCAGACCGACTGGAATTACTAACAAGTAGGAGCCAAAATAGTAACGGTTTCCCATAACTAATGGAAAAGCCAAGGAAGCAAGTCAACCTGCAGCAAAATGCTGCTAGTTTGTTTTAGTGGAAAAGTAACTTAATGCGACCGTGTGGCTCTCTCCAAGCATTACCTTGACATCACAGCTCAGCATTTTGTTGCTTTGTCTCATCTAGAGTTGACATCAAATACAACCTACCACAGTTCTAACTGCTGGAGTCGGGTTTATCGGTACATTCTTTAAAAATCTAAAACACCTATCATCCATACCTATTGATTTACCCAATATAAAATATAGATTAAAATGTTCAGACTGCTCTATTGTAAAGTCAAAGTCTAAAAGAACAGAGCTTGTAATCTAACATCGTTTTTATGTTTGATTTCAGCAGATATTTCAGATCAGATTTAATGTTCACATGTTCTAAGAGGAATCAAAAAATCTGAATTGTAAAATGAGTGGATTCATTTCTAGGTATCAAACTAAGCAAAATCTTGAGTTCTGATGTGTTAAATCTATCACAATAGGTGTGATTCTCAATATCAATCAATGAGGCAGTGATGGAATAACAAATTAAGTGTGGAAAGTTTAGTGTTTTTCTACATTAGACTTAAGGACTTAGGCAACTTTTCGTCATTTTGAAATTTCGTTTTGTACAGCTCTCATGACATTTCCATTTAAACCATCAAACCATCTATTTAAATGATTTCCCCATATTTACAATAAGAACGACATATAAAAAGGTGCAAAAAGTGTGCAGCCGGTTGTTTAAGTTGTAAAAGTAACAGACTGGAATTAGACAGAAAAATCTAAGAATTAAAAATCACACTCCTGATCACTAACCACAGAACAAGTCAAAAAAAAATATAAGTTTTAATCAAACTTCTTAAAAATAGAAACACTTATTTAAAAACATCAAACTACATCCATCTAATAAGGGACAGTCTCTTTACTATGTGGTTAGCATAGCAAATGCAACTGCTGATAATTAAATTGAGCACGGAAGAGTTATAACCTTAAACAACCCTGCATCTAATTAAGATGCCGTAGCATCAATCTTCTACATCAATCTGAAGGTTTCCTCGAAATCCATCTGAGGGTTGAAGCCACACGTGTGATTCGCTTGGTGAGGCAGATTAACAAACAGATTATGCACAGTGGGCTGCTGCAGTGCACTGATGTTAAAATGCATCATCCTTAACCTACAAAAGAATCTGCAAAGTTACAAATAAAGGCGCTCTGGGACCTAGACTTCACAAGTTGTGATAGCAAAGGTCTGGATTATTTGGTCTCATATAAAGGAGTAAAAAGTAACATTAAAAACACCTTCAACTTTCATGGAAACTAGGCGCAATGTGATCCCCCATCTGGCCCACACTTCGTTTAACAACAAAGCCACTGCCTACGTTTTTCCCTGCTTGAAGGGGGGGTGGGGATTGCTGAGTGATGGAGGCTGTTGATGGGTGATGTTGACCTCACCAATTTCTTTCAAAAATGCAATCAATCCCGAATGGACAGAGCAAACGATCTCCATTGACCTTCCACGGAGGCATGATGATACTGTACTGTTAACTGAGAGGGGATTCGGTGAACAAGAGGAGGGAGGGGTTGAAAAAGTTAAATTATGAACGCATAATGTGATAAATTCACCTTTTTCCTGACAAAGAAGGGGAGCACGTGAAGGACGTTCCCATGGAAACCGAAAGTATTCGACTTGTGCCGTTTCACAAACGTTAAAGGACAACAACATGGGAGCTGGAGCGAGCAAACAATGCCTGAAAACAGCATCTGCGTCCCTATAGCTACCCGAGCCAGATGGCTGGGGAGACAATAAACTCCAAACCTCACACCGTGAACTTAACTTCAGCTGAGAAAACAAGGGTTAAAAGTGGAACAAGTGAATTTAATGCCAAGCTCAAATAAACTAATAAGTTAAACTAAAAGAAACTTGAGTATTTCAAGGGGAAAGGGTGTAACACAGATGTGTATTAAGTAGTTTACTCGGCCAAACCGGAGATAACAAAAACAAACTGGTGGCAAATGTTTAAGAAGGACGTAAAAGTAGCTTCTTCCTCACTGGAACATGACAGTAAATATGTTACAAGAGAAACGTAAACACTTAGCAGCTTTCAGCAACTGGGAGTTAGCCCCAGCTAACCGCACTGCAGCTCATTAGCTAACGTGATTGCCGTTAACGTCTGAGAAGTTCAGAGAACAGTCCATAAGCTGGTTAATCGGGGCGCTCGTGCCAAATGCGACCGAGCGATCACGTAAGCAAAAGTGCTGACACAAACAACTCCTAATTTCCGTATTAAAGGACATTCGTGTGGCTGCAAGCCGACGTAAACAAACAGTTACCTCTATTTCAAAGTCTGGGAGCCGAAACGCCGTCCTGAAGAGCGAGCAGAAGTGGGCTATGGCGGGGACTTCCCACCAGGACTGGACCTCTTCCACAGAAACGGAACATCCCTGTGACATTTTGGGACAGGTCAAAGTATATAACGCTCCTTCCTCACATAGGAAAGTTGTCTCTTCAGTGCCTCAGAACCCCTCCGGAACATTACAAACAAGAGGAAAGTTGTCGCTCCCTTCCTGGTGGAGCGGTTGCCATTGCGACCAGCGTAGCGCTACAATCTGTTTCAATCAGTGTCTCACCGGAGCAGCGCAGATGGGAAGGGCGCTACCAACGGAACCACCAAGGGGGGGACCAACGAGTCCAACCACTTCAATACACAGATTATAAAGATATGAAAGTTCCAAAATGTCAGGGATATGTATTAACTTGGCATCTAACACATATCTGAAAGCTTTTAAAAAAAATTGGAATCCCATTTTCTACGTAGGATGAATATTGAAAAAATTATCGGCCCCCACCAATCACATCATGTGCTCCCTGTTTAAAGGGAATGATAGTAAAATACCGAATTACGAAGGAAGTTTAAAGTTACGTAATATATGACCGGCAAAACAATATATTTTTTCAGATTTAGCTTTGAACGCATCGATTAAAATAGTTAATATACAAAACAACAGACTTGGATTAGAGATTTATTTTTTTTTTTACAAATTTTATACTATAATGTGACTTTCTGTTGCTTGCTTTTCACCTGTTTTTATTTTTATTTCGTTATGTCAGTCCAATAGCTATTATGTAAAAGTAAACACTTGTAAACAGCAAAAAAGTGTTCAGTTAAAGTCAGTTGACACAGGGGCTCCCCCTACTGTAATCAGTAAATATTGCATCCTATGAGATGGTGAAGTTCTTTCTTTCCAACATACATGTGCTAAATATGTTCGAATTAACATGCATGCAAATTTAGCGATTACAATTTTGGTATGGTTAATATTCTTCAACTTAAAGGTACTTTAAGTGTGAGTGTGAAAAACGCACCATATGTTCTATAAGCTATAAATCTATCATGATTACTTTTTGACATTCAGTTTTTCTAAGTTTAAACATATCATTCATTGCACTGAATTCAGTTATCCTGAATGAGTTAAGAGTGTTTAACCAGGATGTTTCTACAATCTCCTACACCCTGGATGGGGAAGCAAAGAGGCAAAGAACAACGATGAATGCAAACAAACTCTTACTTAAGGGCAATTACTGATTCAACTCAAGCTTTTTGGCCTGTGAGAGTAAGCTGGGGCCACATTGAGAGCATATACCTCCATGCAGAAAGACTCCAAACCAGAATTCTAAACAAGGATCCTCATCCTCCAAGGCAATAGCACTGATCATTACACCAACAAGCATCCCCTATATTTAAACATGTTCTTCTAAAGAAAATATCAAGGCTTGGCAAAAATCTTCCAAAACCTTGTTGGAAAAAGTGATGATCTCTGATGAAACCAACTGAACATTACTAAAAGAAAACTATATTTGCAGTCGTGCATTGTGCTGCAGTATTAACTTTTAGAGTTGCTTTTAATGAAATGGGCCTTGTTTTTGTATTAGGAGTGGATAACATTATGAATAGATTCAAACATGGGTACCAGTCAGTTTTGACCCAAATCCTGAAGCTGCAGCTGAAGATTTTTATGGGGGGTCAGCATGCACCCAAATCAATAACGGAACCCCAGGAGGTTAAAATAAACCAAGTAACCATACTTTTAAACTTATAGAGCCAGTTATTGAGTTATTTTCCTTACCTTCCAAAAGTTCAGAGTTAGTGCAAATCTGAATATTCTGGCTTTTTTTAAATTCCCAACCTTAATGAAGGAAATTCTGGTCAGTTTTCCTAAGCTTTATAACAGGGGTTAATACATGTTATACTTTCGAACAAACACATCCTGGAAAAGCAGCAATAAAAGATTAAAAATGTTTACAAATAACAGAGAAATGCAAAAGATGATTATATATTATCCCACAAATTAAAAATAATATTGACCCAGATACCAACACACAGGTCTTTAAGTCCTTTAAGTCCTTTTACCAGACCTTAGCAAAGTTTTGGTTTGGTTCCTCCCTTGCGCCACTAGGTGGCAGTAGTTAGTCATATAAGGGCTGCCCAGTCGTCACTGCTCTTTCATATTCTCCTATAATAAATTTTGACTCTAACATAAAAAAAACACGTAAACTTCATTTGTGAAAAAGGGCCTTTTTTGCTGTATGTTTGCTTTATTTTTTCATGACAGAATACACAGGTGGCAGATATAATCAGAGCCTCAAAGTGTCATTATGTGTTTCCATATCTTTAACTTTGTAAGTTACCCGGATGCACTGATTCTTTATGATTTAGATTCGTTTCTATTATGTTTTCTTTGCATATTGCATGTCTTCATCAAAGCTTTTTTTTTTTTTTTTATAAATACATTTATAAGACCTGTGCCAGTAGATGAGTAGACATAGGTTTAATTAAAACAACATTGCAATCAAGTCATACTAGCAATTTAATGCTGTATTTGACTATTGCTGTATTAAGACACTCTAGTGCACTAGAAAAATGTGAAAATTCTTTCATCCAGGTCACATTTGCTCTTCACTAGTCTTCTTGTCCTGACCCAAAAAAGGGAGAATTGGTTTGGGTCATTGGCAAAACAGGCGTAAATCAGAAGCAACCAGACATTCACTCAGTTCTTCTGAAGATATTTTGACACATTTCCAGGTGTCTTTATCAATACCATCAGCTCACAGCAGAGCAATCTCTAGTTGGAGTGCTGACGTTTTTAAACAACACTGAGGTCCATCGCCTAAGCACATTGCAAGTCAGATGCAAATCACAGACCCAGGAGTATTTGCACAGAATTTGCACAGAAACAAACTACAATAGTCAGGTCTGCAGAGAGAATCTTCTGCGCAGGTCTTCACTCCATCCAGGACTCGTTCTGGTCAGTGGTCTAGAAAAGGGAAGCTGACATCTCTGCAGTCCCCACACATCCTGGACACAGATCAGCACTACTGAAGGGCTATTTAAAAAAAAAAAAAAAAAAGCAGCCCCCATAAGGACAGTTCTTCCTCCAGGCTGTTTCTCTTATGGACACTGAACAGTCAGCGTACTCAGATCCATACCATCATTATTGACACCTGTTCGTCCTTATCATCTGTAAAAAACATATAAACAAAAGCTTATATATACAGATTTAGAAAAATAAAATATTTGTATTAACGGTAAAATTTAATATGAATGAATTAATTAATCTATAACTTTATATCAGACAATAAATTAAAATTACAAATGTAATACATACAAGCATCATGTATAATAAATTGTTATTACATTATGTGTGTAATTAAGTGGTTATAGTCCTTAATACCAACAAACTTCCAGATTCTAACTCAGTCCTCAACTACAATCACTGCAAAGATATTCATGCACCCATCTACAGTGAATAAATGCACCTGTTGATTTTTCCTGCCCTTCTTCCATCTCATCTTTTTTTAAGAAAACCCTTTTGAGCGTTATAATAAACAGTCTCATTGGACATTGTTTTAATTCAACACTGAGTTTGTTCAATACTTTAACGCCATGTACTGAAACAAACATTTTGTTTGATGTTTTTTTTAACATATAAGACTTCAGGAATTCAGATTATCCCAGTAATCACCCCCCCCCCCCCCCCCAACAAAAAAAAAGAAAATTTTTGTATTCTGCCTGATAGCAGTTTATTTCTAGCTTTATACATTAGTTATGAGATTTGAAATTCTACCAGATCAGAGGATTTAAGCAAGCAGGAATGAATACATAATGGATTAGTGTGGTCATGAGAGCCAGCTTTATGAACTTTTCTGATGGTTAGTTTCTGCAGCATGCATAGCGGCTTCAGTAATGTCCTGTAGGTATTATCCCAGACTTCTACAATATAGCTCCCGTTTGATAAAATCAGCGAACAGTAAAGAATGTATGATGATTTATAATTCAGAACTGTTCTCATTCCACCTCTACTCCATCTATATTTCCTTTATACTTTATACTTAACAAATAACATAAGATATGTTTTCTCTAAAATCTAGGACCAATTGTTTTTTGGAAACCAGTTTTTTTATTATTAACCTCTAGTGTAATATAATATATTTACATTTAAAATGTTTAAACATTTAAATACTTAAAAAGAGAACAGAGAAGCACCCTAGTGGTTGGATTCTCTAATGCATACAGTGAGGAAAATAATTATTTGAACACCCTACTATTTTGAAAGTTCTCCCTCTTAGAAATCATGGAGGGGTCTGAGATTGTCTTCATAGATGCATGTCCACTGTGAGAGACATAATCTAAAAAACAATCCAGAAATCACAATATATGATTTTATAGCTAGTTATTTGTAAGATGCAGCTGCAAATAAGTATTCGAACACCTGTCTATCAGCTACAATTCTGACCCTTTTTAGACCTGTTAGTCTGCGTTCAGGATATCCACCTCCACTCCATTTATAATCCTAAATTAGATGCACCTGTTTGAGGTCGTTAGCTGCATAAAGGCACCTGTTCACTCCATATAATCAGTAAAAATCCAACTACTAATATGGCTAAGCCCAAAGAGCTGTCCAAAGACACTAGAGACAAAATTGTACACCCCCACAAGCCAAGAGCTACAGGGAAATTGCCAAGCAGCTCGGTGAAAAAAGGTCCACTCTCGGAGCAATCATTAGAAAATGGAAGAAGCTAAACATGAATGTCCTTTGATCCTAAGAAAGGTGAGAAATCATCCCAGAACTACATGGGAGGAGCTGGTCAATGACCTGGAAAGAGCTTGGACCACCGTTACCAAGGTTACTGTTGGTAATACACCTAGACTTCATGGTTTGTAATCATGAATGGCACTGAAGGTTCCCCTGCTTAAACCAGCACATGTCAAGGCCCATCTTAAGTTTGCCAATGACCATTTGTATGATCCAGAGGAGTCATGGGAGAAAGTCATGTGGTCAGATGAGACCAAAATAGAACTTTTGGTCAAAATTCCACTAACCATGTTTGAAGACGGAAGAAAGCTGAGTAGCATCCCAATAACAACATCCCTACTGTGAAGCATGGGGGTAGTAGCATCATGCTTTGGGGATGTTTTTCTGCACATGGGACAGAGCGACTGCACTGTATTAAGGAGAGGATGACCAGGGCCATGTGAAGATGGGTTGAGGTTGAGTCGATAGCCAAGGAATAAGAAGCATATCAAGGTTCTGGTGTGGCCTAGCCAGTCTCTAGACCTAAACCAAATAGAGAATCTTCGGAGGGAGCTCAAACTCAATGTTTCTCAGTGACAGCCCAGAAACCTGACTGATCTAAAGAAGATCTGTGTGGAAAAGTGGGACAAAATCCCTCCTGCAGCGTGTGCAAACCTAGTGAAAAACTAGCAAACCTCTGTAATTTCAAACAAAGGCTATTGTACCAAATATTGACATTTATCTTCTCAGGTGTTCAAATACTTATTTGCAGCTGTATCATACAAATAAAAAGTTGTAAAAAATCATGCATTGTGATTTCTGGATCTCAAAGTGGACATGCACCTACAATTACAATTGATTTCTGAGCAGGAGCACTGGCAAAATAGCAGGGTGTTCCAATACTTATTTTCCTCACCCCAACTATGTGGAGCAGGAGGCGAGAGTCCACGTTACAAAGGTCCAGTGCAGAGGTTGTCCAGAGGTATCACCAGTGATAATTTATTGAGAGATGTCGTCGGTTGGTTCTGGTCCATTGGGTTTAATCAGCTCCAAATTGGAGTTCAGCCATCTTCTGGGGCATTTTAGAGCGCTTCATGCTTCCTTCTGCAGTCAAGTTGTGTGGAGATAATGATTCAATTATCCATTAGGACTTGGTACCACCCCACGCTGATAAAGAAACCAATATTTGCTTTAATCCTCATGGTTACGCCAGCAAACTGGTCTTATCTAAAGCCCCATGATGGACTATTGTCAAGAGGAAGATTGGAGATGAGAAAAAAAATTCAGAAAGGCTTAAGGTCTCCAATAAAACAGCCCTTGCTTCCTGAAGACCTCAGCAGAACCACATGCTGAACCTGTCATGTTGGGGTCGAGGCGCCTAACCCACATGCAGAAATCACTCTTGAAGCAGAGAAAAAGTTAAATGTTTTATTGAAACAAAGATCACAAGCTAATGGGTGCACAGGTTCTTGGTTTGCCAGACTGGTCACGGGAGGGAAGCCACTGAGGAGGACAGAGCAATTAGAGCGGATCCAGGAAATTGGCAATTTACAGATGACTGGGATTAATACCTGCTCAGAGAGGAATCTGATCAGCAGAGTAGGAACCTTGTGGGTCCAGAGGCTAGTCGGCAGGCAGAGGGCTGAGGGCAGAGGCAGAGACTGAGGCGGAGGGCAGGCAGGCAGATTCCAGACAGAGATTATTTTCTCCAGGATGACAGGTTTCCAGACAAGTCAGGATCTGTGAGGCAGAAGAACACAGGATCAGATTGGTTCACAAAAATCAGGGTTTCAGATCAGAGAAACTGGCTCAGGTTTTGCTGTACCAATACTGGCAAACACTCTGGCAGGGAAGTGTCAGCCTCCTCCTCCTTAAGTAGGGCCTCTTGATGAGCAGATGGGAAACAGGTGTCGCAGTCAGCTCATGCCCTCAGGAGAGATCTCGTGTGCCCTCTGGTGGAGAAAGTGGACAAAGCCTCCAGATCCCAACAGAACCTTCAAGCAGGAGCCCAAGCCCAGTCCTTTATTTTATTCCTGTAGTCGTTAGTCTTTCTAGAAACTGAATTTTTAATTTTCATTCATTGTACTATTTTATCATCAAAATCAGTTGCTATTAAATTCAATTCAGTTTATCTATATAGCGCCAATTCACAACACTTGTCATCTCAAGGCACTTTATAGTTACACCAGATCATACAGTTAAATTGATTCAAAGTTTTCTATTTAAGGAAAACCAGTTGATTGCATCGACTCATTGACTTGAATGCAATCCCTCACACTAAGCATGCTTGTAGCGACAATGGAGAGGAAAACTCCCTTTTAACAGGAAGAAACCTCCAGTGTGAGCGGCCATCTGCTGAGGCCGACTGGGGTTCAAGGACACAGAAGCAGAGATACAAAAAGCAACTGTAAAATGCGGCCCCTTCCAGGAAACACACAGCCAGGCAGGCCAGCTCCCATGTCTGAGAATGAAGAGAGCACACCCAACCAGTCATCGTCAGAGAAACAGGACTACATTGGAAAAACAGGCCGATCTCCAACATCTATAAACAAAGGTGTTGATGGCAGCAGCACAGCTGATATTTCTCTCCAGGGTGGTGTCACAGCCGCAACACAGAACAGATTAGGCGAAGCTACTATAAGAAAAGGCAGTAAGAGCATAACCTTAGAGATTAAACTAACAGATTCTGCAGAGTGGGAGAATAGAATGGAAGGAAGCAAAATGATGAAATAGGGGTCCCTATCTCCTCCAGAACTCTAAGCCTGTAGCAGCATAACTATAGAAATAGCTCAGGATTACCAGAGTTACTAGAACTATACGTTTTATAAAAAAGGAAGGTTTTAACCCTTAAAGGTAGACAGGGTGTCTGCTCCATGGACTAAAATTGGTAGTTGGTTCCACAGGAGAGGAGCCTAATAACTAAAAGATCTGCCTCCAATTCTGTTTACAAATTCTAGGAACCACTAGTAAACCTACAGATTGAGAGCAAAGTGCTCTGTTAGGAACATAAGGAACAGTCATATCTCTGATATACGATGGAACTTAGCCATTAAAGGCTTTGGAAACTAAGGGTTAAATGTTCAAAAGAGTTGTAATTATTAACTGCCTTTGGAGTTATCAGTAAGTCAGACTGAAAGATTGTTGCTACTCTTCCTCCTCGCCCAGAACTTCTGGGTATGTGAAAATTTAAAAAACTAGAAGGAGTTGCCTCATTTATGCTCACATAATAAAAGCTGAAATGATGAATCCGTATAATCCTGCTATCATTTTACAAAGTTTTAGTTATCCTTGGTTCACTTTTGCAGAGTGGCTTTTCAGCAATAAAAGCCAACATAAAAATGAAACTGGATGTTACTTTAAGCACCAATTGGAAGTCTGTGAACATGCTGGCATTCAGTCTGTGTGGAGATATTATGTAATAGCCAGAGTGTTACACAGTGAGCTCATTAGTGATGGAAAACCTCCTTTGTTCGAGTTACGCTTGTGTCGTTTGGTTTGTAGATGAAAATACACTCTGAGATCTAATTATTGACATCGGTTACTGCATGCCTGTTGAGTGCAATGAACCAACAACACTACAGGCACCAGTAAATTTTGAGCAGTGTTAGTGTAGATCCGGGCAGCCGGGACACACTCTCACAGACACACACAGAAAGAGAGAGAGAGAGTGACCACAAGAGGGAGGGACTTAGAAGCAAGACAATACTGGTGTTTGTGCAACGGCCCCTGAGTGGCGGCTGGCTTTCTCAGATCTCTCTTGCTTCATGTCCAGTGCTGCAGCGTCGCTGAGGTGAGAAGAAGGACTGAGATGAAGTGGCAGAGGTAAGGGCTCCATCTCAGCTGCTGTTGTCTCTGCGATGAGTACATTTTTCCCTAAAGTTGTCTCATGGGTCCTTTGCCACATAGACAAGCAGGAGGCTCTAGTGCCATTTTTTTTGGGTGGAAAGCTGGATGTTGGCTTGGATCTGTGTTTTGGCAGGGTCACTACTGTGTGTGAATGGAAGTGAAAGAAAGTTTCACTGAAAGAGGTTTCTTTAAATGCATGTGTAGCTGCAGCTATGGAAAATACAGAGTTTATTAGAGAACAATAGATAAATATAAAAAAAGTTACTATAGGGTTCGATGGCTTAAGTGTTGGGAGATGTCCAGAGATGATGCAAAGTGCAGGACAATAAGGAAACGTTGCTGGTATTACTCCTGGGCAGGGATAGGGGAAGGTTTACAGAGGTAAAAATAGACAGAATGGAGGTGGACGGATTAAGAGACGGAGATTAATAGGAGTGTGAAGAGAAAATGGAAATCAGAACATTAGAAAGCAGAAACTATTTGAAGAAAAAATGAAAGAGCAGAGGGTTAGAGATTGTCACACATTTCCTAAGCTTGACTAAAAACTACTATAAAAAAAAACATGCCGAATTATTTGTTTAACCCTTCTTTGAATATCCTGTTGAGCTACTTGTTTTAAGAACTACAGCAGGACACCATTCATCGCAGACATTCCTTTTTAGCTGACAGATTCTAGGAAGACTAAAGAAACAATATTTTAACTGAAGACTATGGATGAGTTTTTTTAGGAAGTCTTAAAACCTGACATCACAAGCATGTTGACAACTAATGACAGGGCTTTAAAGAATAAAAGGTGTCTTTTTTTTACTTAATCCATCGTGACTGCTTTTGTTTTGTGCTCCCAGACAGTGCGAGGGAAGCTGAATTTGAGGTGCAGCAAAGCAGAAAAGCCAGCTGCAACGCAAACATCCAGCCCTGGATTTTTTTGAGGACAGCACAAAGGAAGGCATCCACCCAGTGAGAGCCGCACAGAAGTGAGTCGTCCTCTTCTACCACATTAAAAGGATCTGGAAGGTGTGGGAGGGGGGAGCTGAGCGGCAGTGACACCTTTGGGGGGGGGCGTGCTGAAGAGAACGAGCATTGGAGCTGGGGAAAAGAGCCCCCAATCTACCACGATGGGAGACAAGAAAGTTAGGTAAGCTGCTCTACTTTGTTTCTTTTATTTAGCTAATTCATTATTAATAATAAGTAAGTCTTAATGTTGGCATTTTGAGTTGTGCTTTGCATGCATTGCTTCAGTCCAGCATTTTTTAGTTTTAATCAGTGCACAGTGCTTAGGATAGTGGTGTTGTTTTTGTAGTGCTTTCTAAATAAAGTTGCATTGTATCGGGTTTGTCGTTGATCCATTCCAGTCTCCCAGCTAAGCTGATTAATGGGGGCGTGGCGGGCCTGGTCGGTGTGACATGTGTATTTCCTATTGACCTGGCAAAGACCCGCCTACAAAACCAGCAGGGCGTCCAAGTCTACAAAGGAATGTGAGTGGGGTTTTCTGATTGGTGCAGTCACAGTTAGACATAATATGGCTTCTAAACTAGAGGATTAAGATTGATTTATGATTTTTTTCAGAGTGAAACTCATATTAAAATGATGTATGAGCTGCTAAATAGACTTGGTTAAATATAGTTAAAGAGTGACCCAAATCCTAACCTTTTAGGATTTGGTTCACTCTTTTAAAATTATTCTTTTTACATTAAGTCCAAACGAAATCCAAAAAATTGACTGTTTTCTTTGAATAAAGCAATTAAGTCCTTTGCAATCCTTACGAATAATTCAGCTCAATAATTATTTCCATATTCCCTGGAAGATCTGACTGCTTCATTTTTACCGATAATTTATTTATTCACAAGGTAACAGGAGTCATGTTGGTAATGAATAAAAATTTAAATGATTTTTGCTCTCAAGTTCTTTTGAATTCACAATTTTGACCCATATCACAACTTTTTTAAGTAAACATGAGATCAATGCAGTGTTAGAAATACAGATTTTTGGAATTTTTTTGTGAACCAAAACCTTTAAATTTTACAACAAAACCTTTTTGGCTCCCAATCTGTGTACTATAAAGTACTTTTCTAATTATACTACCTTATTATAACGATATTATATCCTGGCATCCGTGTTCCACTAATACTGCTCACATTTTGTATTCAAATGAAAAGGAAACTTTTAAAGCATGAGTAGAAATCAGATATTTTCAAAAAGCTTAGTGTATTCTAATTTAAGTGACAGATAAGGATAAAGTAGCACAGATGTGAAGAGAAGGAAATGAAAAATAGCTTAACCTTTTCTTGCCAAAAATAAAAAGTAAAATCTACAAACTGTTGACTAAATCTCAGCAGTTTAATTTGATACATGAAAAACTAAATTCTGTCTCTTTCAGAAGTCACCAGCCCAGTAACTTGTTTCCAACTCTGTGTATTTCAATCTGAAACAAACTGCAGATGTTCTGCTTCTGACCTCAGATAATAATAGAGAACAAACAGCCTTGTGAAACTCAGAGCATTAATCAGAGAATCAGACCATGATGGTTCTGGATGAGCTGCATGGATCCATAGCTCAGGTTTGGAGAATCTGTTGCCCTTTCCAACTTGACCTGTAAATTAAAAATAAAGCCAGTAAAGGTCTTGAAAAAGCAGTTGAAAACTGGTGGATTTGAGTAGAGCCGGGCCAAGAGGAGCCAGTGGAAAAGGGGTATATTAGTATTTGCTGTGGCTTCCATAAGTGTTGCCCTACTGGAAGTTTGGAAACAATGAAAGGATTATACAGTTTTACACAAAAAAGAAAACAAACAAACAGAAAAAAAAAACACAGAGGAGACACAGCAGCAAACTTTGAAGTTCCATTTTGTTAACACCAAAAATGATTTTATGCCCTTTTGTTTCATGAACATTTTATAAATCAACCTTAATTAACTACAACCCTGTGAAACTAGGTGGGGGCAGCATCATGCTATGGGGATGCTTCATTTCAGTGATCAGAATTGATGAAAGATGAATGTAGCTAAATCCAGGATCATCCAGGAAGAAGACCTGCAAGAGGCTACAAAAGACCTTAAACTGGGGTTTAGGCTAACTTTCAAGCTGGAAAATCACCCTAAACATCCAAACAGAGATACAATGAATGGTTTAGATCGAAGTAGACTCATGGATTAGAATAGCCTAGTCAAAGTATCTAAACCCAAATTAAAATCTAAGGTAAAACTAATGTTTAAAGCTGCTCTACATAAAATCCAATTGAGTTTAAGCTCTTTATTCTTTTGTAAAATTATATAAATGTATACACAAATTCCTGTTTGACCTTTTTTTTTTTAACCACTCATTTTAATTATTAAGTATTCGACATTGACAGCGAAATTTACCAATCCAAGATGTACCAGTTAAGTCGACTCTGATAAATATGCAAATTATAACTTCAGTAGATGAAGCTGGTGGAAGCAAACTCTAAAACACCTCCAGCCTGACCTGCAGGGAGGTTGATTAAATAAATAAAAAACACACACATTCACACTGCCTTTCAGATTATTAGTAGCCTATTTTTGGTTCGCCTTGTTTCAAATAATGAGCTGGTTTGTGTTGATTTGTCACATAAATTTCAAATAAAAAAAACAAGGTTTGTGTTAAGGTCAACACAAATTTAAGTTTAACACTGTTAAATCTAAAACAAAGAGGGCTCAGATCATTTCATACTCTGTCGGTGACCCTGTGATAGAAATCATCAGAGAGATGGAAAAGGGCAGAGACAGTGTCCTTAAAAGGCCCAATGAGCCCGACGTTTAAACGGCTCACATCTGGTGGCTGACCGGGCGTGGCCATCCTGTTTGGACTCGGCAGCCTGTGGGTTTCCACTGTGACTCATTCATGGAAAATAGTTTGGATAAAATCTGCAGCAAAGTGAGGCACCATTTTTACTTTAAAACAGATGCTTTAGAGCAAGCACGTAATCCCTATAATTTGACAGTCGAATCAGCCTTTTGCAGAATTATTTGTGTAGAAACTAGGGCTGCAACAAAAAACTATTATGCTTATCAGTTGATCTGTTGATTATTTTTTCAACTAATCGATTAATAATCTGATAGCCAAAGGTTCCTTAAAGAAGTTTTTTAACTAAATTAAACCAGATGCAACTAAAACTTTTCCACTTGAAGAGTTCTGGATAGATTATATTGACAGACCAATGAGATTTCTTTATTTTAATTGTGAAATGTATATATATATATATATTTTTTTTTTTTACTATTTTGTTATAATTCCTGCTCTAAGTGGGTCACCTTGTCAGCTAAAAACCTGTTTTAGAGTTTCTATACTCAAGTTAGCGATTAATCGATTACTAAATTAGTTGGCGATTATCTCAATAATCAGTCAATATTAATCCGATTAATTGTTTCAGCCCTAGCAGAGACGTGTGAATTGAAGAGAAATTGAATGGCTTTTCCTTGTTGTTTTAAAGGTTTGACTGCCTGGCAAAGACAATACGCTCAGAGGGCTATTTTGGATGCTACAGAGGTATCTAATTCAGAAATAACAATGGTTTCCCTGAAATCTTTTTACGGCCATAAACGGCTTCTGCTACCATCTGCTCTGTGGTGGTAAGCTGCTTTTTAGGCCTGTTCTATTAGTGGAGACAAACATTCGCCTGTTTGTTGTTTCCAGGTGCAGCAGTAAACCTCACACTAGTCACACCGGAGAAAGCAATCAAACTGGCAGCCAATGATGTCTTCAGACAAAAGCTTTCAAAAGACGGGTATTTGTTTGCTTTTCTTTCCCTCCTCTCATCAAATGCACCTGTATTAGAATATCACTAGATATTCATTTAGTTCAGATTAATTTTGCCGAGGAAAAGCGGCTAAATTTAAAACCCGGTATGCTTGTCTTTTAATTAGAATGCACGAAACTGTAAACATGATATATTCTTCAAATAATGTGTTTAATAGTGGCTTACTGTTTATATGCTTTTCTGCAGACATTTACCCCTGTGGGGGGAAGTACTGGCTGGGTGTGGGGCTGGGACCTGTCAGGTGGTGGTCACCACACCCATGGAGATGCTCAAAATCCAGCTTCAAGATGCAGGACGACTAGGTAAGAATGTTTTATTTCATTTATTTATTTTATTTTATTTTTTCAATTTTTTTTTATTTATGGAAAGCACACACTGGAAGAAAATCGACATTTAGATAAATAATTTTTACTTCAAATAAATGCATTTTGCCAATGCAACATGACAATTTATATTTAAAATAAGGGAAAAAAATATGTAATTTTCTTATTTAAAGCGTATATTATCTAATTACCTTATTTTAACAATAAAAATCCTCATTCCATTGGCAAATCATCTTATTTACTCACTCAAATTAAGGGCAAATACACTTAATTTGAGACATTTTGACTTATTTCTAGATTGTTTTTGCAGGGGAACACCAAAGACCGTTTTTAGCCTTTTAATAAGTGATTTTAATCTTTTTGGGACGGTTTTTACAAATTCTCTTTTCATAGGAGGAGTTTTCCAGGACAAAAAGAAACAAGCCAAAGGCCCGAATTTTAAAAATTTTAAACAGCAAAGCAAAGATGGCCATTTACTTGCCCCACAGAGACAGACTTGCAGGAAGGACCTTACCTTGATGCTGTGGCTCTGTGGAAGCGCAACGCTAAAGCCAGAATAAGGCTGGAGTTTCACTTCCACAGTTGTTGGATTTTAACAACATTTTATGTACTTTGTCAGATGATGGAGAACTACAATATAAAAAGCTCCTCATTTATGTGATTTTTGGATGACATGTGTTTTAACATAAATAGATATTTTTAAATGATATTTTTTTATCAACAATTGATTATATTGTTTTGATTGAATATATAAAGTGTTGTTAAAAGTCAAAAATTATTTTTGCACTGCTTGTATCCATCTCATTAATAGATAAAGTAGCCTTGTTAATCTGTGATAGTCTTTCCTTTTCTATTAAGGTCCAGGTCCAGTCCTGTAACTTTTAGATGAATCCCTCTCCAACCCATCTGAATCTAATGGCTGAACTCCCTCATCATCATGCAGTCATTTAATCTCTACAGCAGTGGCGGCCGGCCCATAGGGGGCGCTGGGGCACCGCCCTCCCTGATAAGAAGAGAGAAACGTAAAATATATTTTTAGAAATTAACTCATAAATGTCAGTTTTACTCTCTAGAGTGTGTACCTATAAGCAAAACAAATTATATAAACTACATTTCCCTATCTACTGTCATTAATTTGTGGATTTCCACAGACAGACTCCTACCGTCTCTGTTCTGGGGGCGCTGATCAGACTGACCCACATTTGCAGAGAATCTGTCAATCATGTACTATTGCTAGGTGAATTTAATGGCCAATCAGCGTCTCGGAACTTTATGGTATTGGGGCGCTGAAAATACTGCGCTTTTACAGGCTTCTCTTCTGAACCCAAGCGCAGGTGCAGACAGTTAGAGGGAAGATGGCGAATGTAACAAACGAGATGCAGCTTCCACCAAATTCGGTGAGATCCTTATTTATCTACCCGTTTGCCAGAAGAACATCCCTGTTGTATGATATGAACATTTCATGTCATGGTTATTGTGACTGTGACGAATCCACCTCGTCGCTTAAAACAACCTCTCTAACTTTGCGCGCCACACACACATTCCTGTTATACTGTGTTTGTGAGGACCAATACACTCGCGCTGAGACCAGTAGCTCCATGAACTTAAAACACACAAGCTGTTCCTGGTTACCTGCTGGCATATTGAGGGTGCACACTTAATATTTCAGTGGGGTTAGCCGTGTGTGTGTGTGTGTGTGTGTGTGTGTGTGTGTGTGTGTGTGTGTGTGTGTGTGTGTGTGTGTGTGTGTGTGTGGGTATGTGGGGGGTGTGGGTGTGTACGTGTTTATGCGGGGACTTTTCATCTTCAGTCTGGCTGCGTCTTTGCTGGGTTCAAATCCAGTTTGGTGTAATTGAATAAGTCAATGAATCTGTGTAAAAGAATTAAGTTGTAAAAATTATTTGTTTTTGTACATCAATTGTTTGTGGAGGTAATATATGGACAAAACTGATTTATGAGAAGAAATCAGAAATAAGAGAGCCTGAGGTGAGGGGCTTAAACTATTTAATGAGGGCTGTGGGAAGAAAAGCGGCAATTTTTGTTTTCTGTTTCTTTGTTACATTGCTGGTAACTGGAGGGAGGCTGAGGCCCAGAGTATCTTGTATGTGTAGTTTCTTTTGCACCCTGTTTTGAGTTTTTGAGCTCAATAAATCACCAACACCGGTAACCCGACTGAGACTGGATTCTTGGAGGCCAAAGAACCCCGTCACAGTGACCCAAATCATCACTGTTACTGTTATTATATAGTAAATTAAATCATTACTGTTAAATTGTATGTATTGTCCAATTGTTTATTTGAATTCTTATTCCGGGTTAGTTGGAGACAGACACTAGGCTATATCAGCCCCACCAAAAATATTTTTCACCAGCCGCCACTGCTCTACAGAGGCAGAGAAAAAAGCCCTTCGTTTGATTCAGGTGTGATGGAGAAGGGATGCATCTAGAATCTGTAATCTGGTAGCTTTTTAGGACTTGACACTCCTATGATAGAGACAAGCAACCATCGGGTGCTCACCACAGGACCACATCTCTCTGTTCCCTAACCTTAGACGGTTGTTGTTTTCCCATTAGCTGCACAAAGGCCCATGGCCACTCCTAGTCAGACAGCAGCTGCTGGTCCTGCTCCATCATTAGTGGCCTCTGCATCACAAGCCCGGCCGGCTCGTCCCCAACGGCCCTCGGCAACAGGCATCACAGTGGAGCTGCTGAAGACCCGTGGCCTGGCGGGCCTCTACAGGGGGGCAGGAGCAACATTAATGAGGTTGGCACACAAATATCAATTTTTAATACAAGGCCCTGAAAAATCATTACCCCCTCGCCCCCTTTTATTTCTTCTTTTGTGCTGAAACCTATTGCTGCTTTGATACACTTGAAGCTCATTAGCAGAGTTCTGTAGATAGCGAAGCAGTTTAGCCGTCTGATTCAATTTTGCAGAGTAAGGACCACATCTAAACGTTCCAGGACACTGAAAGTGAAGGAAGTGTGAAGACCAATATGTTCCTTCTGACTGGAACCAATAATATTCTGGAACGGCCTGTCCAAAGTCCAGACTTTAACATGATAGAGAATATGTGGAGGGACTCTTAATTAGGGTGATGGTAAGGAGGCATTACCACAATTAAGTCATTATATTACTAAAGGAAACATGCAAGAAGCTGCATAGCTAATATAAAACAGATTTGATTTTAGTGATTAAAAATATATATTTTTTGGTTAATACCTTCTTTTTCCTTATTTTATTATGTTTTGAGACATATCAGATTTATTTTCTATCAAAAACAACTTTGCAATCACATAATCCTTTTAATAGCAGAAAAAAATGAATGCAGCTCAAGTCTGCAAATTCTGAATCAGTAACGCATTAAACTGACCAATATATAAAAAGAGTACCAAAAATTTCTACAAATTCTCTTTGCATTTAATTTTGTCTTGATTTTGTTTAAGAACCCTCAATCCAAGCACATAATAAAAAACGGGGACTTCAAGTGTAACTGTTCTTTCTGTTGCTACAGCACTTTTCATTCTTTATTATCCTGCAAATGTCACGCAGCTTTATTACTGAACCAGTTTCTGATTATATAACTCCAGCTGTGATCGGTTCATTCTTCGACAAATCTACTAATCAACACAGATCAATAGAGTCCTGCAGCTATGTCTGGTTGTTACACTGCTGCTGAATAGGTTCATGTCTCTCTTCTCTCGCTCTCTCTCTTTCATCACTTCATCTTTTGTTCCACTTTTCTAATGTCTCTTCCCAGGGATGTCCCCTTCTCCATGATCTACTTCCCCCTGTTTGCCAACCTTAACGCAGTGGGTCGTGAGGCAGCGGAGGGCCACGCTGCAGTTCAGGTCAGGGCACCGTTCTGGCAGTCCTTTGTGGCCGGCTGCTCTGCCGGCTCCATAGCAGCCGTGGCTGTAACTCCGTTGGATGGTGAGTTCTTGGTAGAGAACAATGCAGAGGACATTGAATAGCTCCACTTTTTGACATTTTGTCACATTAAACCGTCATGTGTTTTAAAACATCAATAAAAAGCAATCAAATTTGATTTAATGGATTCTTGTCTGGTTTTAGGGTCTAGACTTAGACTAGGCCATTTTAATCCAATTACATTTCTGGAGTGCTGTTTAGGGTGGTTGTTTTAGGTTCATGAAGGTAAAAATCCACCCTCATCAGGTGGATGTCAGTGTCTTGGTAGCTCTGCAGTTGCAGCTCCATCTTCTCTCCGTGTTCAGTTGATGGATTGATCAGATCTGTGGTAAATGTGCAATGTTTGTAACAGCTTTTGTTTTAGATTCAAATCCTGTTTGAAACTGAATCAGAAATTCCTCACTGCAGGATTCTTTGAGCTTCATAAAGCTGTTTATGATCTAATGTTCTCAAAAGAGGACAGAACTAGAACAGGTGCAGTTAGGCTCAGATTAAATCCCACTCAGCTGAAGGTGAGACTTGTTACCGGCCTGGTGACTTCTGAAGGCAATAAACTGCACTAGAATTTCACACAAATTACAAAAATAGAATTCAATATAGAATCTTCCTTTTTTTTGCTTTTAATGCAACAAAGTATATAAAACTGTATAATTTATATGGGAGATTTTTTTAACACTTTGTTTTGCTTAAAATGTGCACAGTGATTAAGACTCGTCTGCAGACCTTACAAAAAGGTGAAGGGGAGGACACATACAGAGGGATTGTTGACTGCACAAGGTAGGACTGCAGAGCAAAGAGCTCTAGGACTCTTCCTCCCCTGATCTTTCTCACTTTGTCCTTTCTCTGGGTTTTTTTTTCAGGCGCATCTTGAGTCGGGAAGGCCCGTCGGCGTTCCTGAAGGGCGCAGCTTGCCGGGCACTGGTCATCGCTCCTCTTTTCGGTATCGCACAGGGTGTCTACTTCCTTGGGGTAGGGGAGGCGGTTCTGGGTTTACTGGAATAACAGTGACTGGCAGTGGTGGCTGTGATTATGCTGTCTAAATACAAGCAGAGAACACACAAAGAAGCACAGCCACACTCTGCTAACCAAAGGAGGAGAATAACAAAGATGTTGGACCGGCGGGTTCACTCTAATAACTGTTATCTAGGTTTTTACAAGCTGCCAGCAAAGTTCTTATGGTTAAACAAGGTCTTTTGTAGGTCTGTGTAACTAATGTGTGTGTGTGTGTGTGCAGAGTCCTGGTTAGCCCAGGGTGCTGAACACCACATTTGCTTGAGATATTATTCTCATTTCCTGTAAATAAAGACCTGATGAATATTTTTACAGCTCCTAAACTAAAATGCCTGAAAAGTGTGACTGTTTCTTCAGTCTGTGCAACATCAAGAGGAAGTGACCCATTTAAATCATACCTAAAGCGGTTGTTTATTATGCCTTGTTTAAACCAGGAGCTCAGCCTCTACCTGCCCACTCTGTTATGCGATCCTCCCACTCTATTCTGTAGGTCAGAGTTGTAATCTGGATTCTTCTGCTGGACTGGGAGGTTCTCCCTGCCAATCTCTCTAAGGTCATTTGTTAATCTGACGGTAATTCCTTAATCCCTGTAATAGCTTACAATTCAATTTACATCACAGCTAAACGTCCTGTTAAAAGGCCACAGGTTAGACTGCAAGACAACACATTGCCTTCCAGGCATTGTCACTTTGAATTTATATACCAGTAATAATAAAAAATGCTTTTCCTCCAGATTTATGGTCTAAAATACATTGCTATAAATGATATGCGCACAATGACTAAGGACAATTCAATCAACGCCTTATCAATGCTGTATGTTTAAAACTGTATGAAAAAAAAATTAAATAGAAAATAAGTGAAAAGTTCATATTTTCTTTTGAAAGGGTGGCTCTGTTTAGAGGTTATAAGAAGTAGTAGAAAACTCTCCTAAGGTCTTTACTTCTATGAAACAGATCAGCTTTTCAGCTAAAAGCTCATCCCTGCAGATAGAAAAAAAAACAAAACAAACAAATCCAGCTCCATCAAAAATCTCCGAGGTCATCAGGAAAGCTTCTAAATTCCACCCAGCTGTAATGTTTGAAATAAACGGTTAATAATATAGCAGTCTGTGCCAAAATATAAGAGAGTTTAATCATGTTTATTTTGTTTCTCCTTACCTGATTCTCTGTGATCACCATTTCTTACGTTATGGAACGATGTCAAATCAGTTATTGGTCCTAGAGATAATTTAAATCTCTGAGATCATTAGAGGAAACACCTGTGGATGGGTTTGATGGGAATGATCATCCTGCTTCCTTGTTAGACATCAGAAATCAGCAAAGCAGGAGAACTGTCGATCTCCATCAGTCCGGTTCAGGTCCAAATCTCATCAGTTCTCCTCTATTCAGTCACCATGGCGCTCAGGAAGGGGATGGGTTCTGTGATGTGAAATGTCAGGATTGACCCTAAAACAAAAGCTAAAGACTTTTTTAAGATGCTCATGAAGTAAGAAAGTAATTATCCACAAGGAATCGAGTTCTGTACCAACATGGATGTAAATGCCAGAAAAAATTAAGTGGAAATACTGAAGCCGAACCGAAGCTCGGACATAAATCGTTGACTAATAACTATTTGTATTTATTTGAGTAACTTTTTGATTAAACTGTACTTATAGGAGTAGTTTCACTGCACCTTACTTTTTACTTTTACTCCAGTAGAATTATTGTGAAGTATTGCTGCTCTTGCTTGAGTACAATCTTTGGGTATTCTACCCACTGCGAGCAGTGTCAGTATTCAGAACTGTGGACCCAGAATATCAAGTAGACAGACTGATGTAATTTTAAAAAGAGTTTATTGACAACTCATCGAATCTGTGACTGAGCTGCTAGGATAAAAAAGCCGGAATCTCTGGCTGGAATCCCAGAAAAAGGAGTAGAATTCAGCCGGATTATTTCCCACAGCCATGGCGGATGCCGCCCAGAGAATTCCAGGAGCCGAAGTCCAGAAGGCTGTTGAACTGGCTTATGTGAAGAAACAAGCAGACGAGGGAAAGCATGAGTTTCCAGAAGGCAAAGCCAAAGCCGGTGTTGATGAGGTTAACAGGAGTCCAGGCCAGAAGATCAGAGATCCGAAGAGGAACTGAAAGGAATCCACGTCGGGGTCAGGAGATGGATCCAGGGTTGAAAGCAGGAAAAATCCAGCAGTAGTCCAAATACAGGGCAGGCAAACAGATCAGAACAGGGGCATGCATGCTCAGAGGTCCAACTGCAGAAACTATTCATGATCAGGCATTCAGCACGGTAAACAGGGAACGCTAAAGAACACTCACCAAAGGCTTGTATAATCTGGCACTGATGGCTGGGAGCAAGCAGCTTAAATAGGGACAGGAGCAGGTGGATGAGATGAACAATTATGAAACATTTGGTGAAGCTAGGCAGGTGAATAGAATGAACTATTATGCCAGTCAGTAGTGCCAAGATCATGACAAGCACCTTAACTGAAGAAAGAACCACAATTAAACCTTTAACGTGACACAGGCAGACAGTTAAAGATCCACAAAAATACCTTTTCTCTTTTGCACACAATTTTAATGTGACTTTTATCTGGTGAGACAAGGTCAAGGTCATATACAGTGAACAAAAAAATCTTGTTTACACTAGTGGAGGTATTGTCCTCTGTTCCATCATGCCATCTTTATATACTTTAAGAAATGGTTTCATATATGTCAAACAATTTTTATTATATATTCTTTTTCATTAATTAATTTTTAATTTTGTTTTTCAGTTTGTATTCATTATTCTCTTTTAGTCTTAAATATATTTGTACTAACTTTATATTATTGTCTGGCTGATTTATTTCATTTCAAAACAATACCTTTTCACTCTTACTTGATCAATTTATTGGATGGCCACTTTTTTTAATTGGGTAGAGATATGTTGAAGTAGTGCTACTTTTACTTGAATACATTTTTTGGTACTCTAGAAACCTCTGCTGATGCGTTTCAGAATGGCTGAAGGACAACAAGGACAATAATCTAACGTGGCAATCTTCGAATATCCGAGAAAAGCTGTGTAAAAGCACGGCGGCCCATAAACATGACCCAGTTACACCAGTTCTGTAAGGAGGACTGGACCAAAATTCAAAAAAACTCTTAGGATAAACTGTGGAAGGAAACAGAAACGTTTTACCAAAATCAGCTTGAAAGTACAATCATCCAAATTACTGAGAAGATATTAGAAAATAAGAAGCAAACTTGTTGTAATAACTTTGGTCATCATAGCTAATTTAAAACAGTAAAATTTTAATGATGAATCATTCGACTCTATGTCTTTGCAGTTTATATACACTATATTGCCAAAAGTATTTGCTCACCTGCCTTGACTCACATATGAGCTTAAGTGACATCCCGTTCCTAATCCATAGGGTTCAATATGACATCGGTCCACCCTTTGCAGCTAGAACAGCTTCTACTCTTCTGGGAAGGCTGTCCACAAGGTTTAGGAGTGTGTTTATGGGAATTTTTGACTTTTTGACAAATTTTTGACAAATGCGCTTCTTCCAGAAGCGCATTTGTGAGGTCGCACACTGATGTTGGACGAGAAGGCCTGGCTCTCAGTCTCCGCTCTAATTCATCCCAAAGGTGTTCTATCGGGTTGAGGTCAGGACTCTGTGCAGGCCAGTCAAGTTCATCCACACCAGACTCTGTCATCCATGTCTTTATGGACCTTGCTTTGTGCACTGGTGCACAGTCATGTTGGAAGAGGAAGGGGCCAGCTCCAAACTGTTCCCACAAAGTTGGGAGCATGGAATTGTCCAAAATGTCTTGGTATGCTGAAGCATTCAGAGTTCCTTTCACTGGAACTAAGGGGCCAAGCCCAGCTCCTGAAAAACAACCTCACACCATAATCCCCCCTCCACCAAACTTTACACTTGGCACAATGCAGTCAGACAAGTACCGTTCTCCTGGCAACCGCCAAACCCAGACCCGTCCATCAGATTGCCAGATGGAGAAGCGCGATTCGTCACTCCAGAGAACGCGTCTCCACTGCTCTAGAGTCCAGTGGCGGCGTGCTTTACACCACCGCATCCGACGCTTTGCATTGCACTTGGTGATGTATGGCTTGGATGCAGCTGCTCGACCATGGAAACCCATTCCATGAAGCTCTCTGCGCACTGTTCTTGAGCTAATCTGAAGGCCACATGAAGTTTGGAGGTCTGTAGTGATTGACTCTGCAGAAAGTTGGCGACCTCTTCGCACTATGCGCGTCAGCATCCGCTGACCCCGCTCCGTCAGTTTACGTGGCCTACCACTTCGTGGCTGAGTTGCTGTCGTTCCCAAACACTTCCATTTTCTTATAATACAGCTGACAGTTGACTGTGGAATATTTAGGAGCGAGGAAATTTCACGACTGGATTTGTTGCACAGGTGGCATCCTATCACAGTTCCACGCTGGAATTCACTGAGCTCCTGAGAGCGACCCATTCTTTCACAAATGTTTGTAAAAACAGTCTGCATGCCTAGGTGCTTGAATTTATACACCTGTGGCCATGGAAGTGATTGGAACACCTGATTCCAATAATTTGGATGGGTGAGCAAATACTTTTGGCAATATAGTGTAAAAATCTGTTTATTTCCTAAATAAACTGTAAAGATAAGAAGCTTTGGAACTTCACCCAGACTAGCAGATTTAACTAATCATAAGATTAGGAAAGCTCATAACCTCTAAACAAAACCCCTTTAAAATTTTTTGAACTGCTCCTTTAGACGGAAATGACAGAATTCTGATAGAACTTCAATTTAGCAACCAAATCTTAAAAAAAGCAAAGCAAGGCACCTTATTTCACTGCCATACTGAAAACCACAAGATGGCACTAAAAGGTTGGTTTGTTTTTACATTTAAATGTAACACAGACTTTTGTTCCTAGAATTTTTCTGGTTCTTAGAGAGAATCTAGCCTAAGATAACTGTTTACAAGCTGTAAATAAAGAGATCTCCAACATGTCAAAATGTGTCCCTATTTTATTTCTTTTAGTTGTTGAACATAGATATGAAGATGTGATGAAGAGAACATCCAAACACAAAGGTTCCCATCAGCACCACCTTGGCTGCCATTTTCACAGTATAAAGTCGAGTAGATGAAGGTATCTTTGGGATTAGATGAGGTTTTCTTTTTCGAACAGTTTTATATACAGCAGCTCTCCAGACATCAACATGTGAGGCCAGGGGGACATAAGAGCTGAATTATTTCTCACAGCAGTTTTTATTTTTGTTTGTCCAAAAAATAAAATAAAAAAGGCCCCCACAGGCTCGTGTAAAGATGCTGTCTTCATGTTTCCAGCTCTGTTCTCCTTTGATCGGCCATTAATCCAAGAATTTACGGTTGGGGTTGGCACCAAATAAAGTCTCTCTGATTTCAGGCATCATCTGTAAAGGAAAGGATGTCAAAAAAAAAAAAAAAGATCATGGTCCAAGGTCAAAATAAAGAATGCTTCAACTTTGGTTAAATTTCTAAGGCTACAGGAGCAAAGCTGAAGCAGTTTTGCCTCAATTGTAAAGCCTTAGGCGTGAAAGTATTAATGTGCTTCATTTGTAAAATGTATACAGTATTTTTAGTTAATATATCTGTAAAATTATGACTAGTTAGTGCTATTGATTTCCTCTTTGAATCATTCTGCCCCTGTCTTGTACAGGCAGCTTACAGATTTCTATCAGGGCGACCCTGCCAGAGTTAGTATCTCATCCAAATAATGAATAAAAATATATTGTTGCTTTTTAGTTAACAGCTTCTTCTTATAATGTCTAATATCAGGCTAACCCTGCCAGATGCACTGGATAGTAATTGTAACAGGAGTAACCCACTGGTCTCTTATCTCTTTATTCACTGGATTGCTGATGGTCCGTTGGTAGTACAGGGTGCTGTGAAATCACCAGCTGCCATATTGGTACTCCCTCTTTAGACTGGTCGGACTGTAAACAATACTTGGTCTACAGCAGCGGTCCCCAACCTTTTTTCGTTATATGTCAGACAAAATTTTTACGGACCGGCCTTTAAAATGTGGGGGGTAAATATGATCATATAAAATAATCCGACTGGCAAAAAATCAAATACGAACAGCATAAAAATAAAACTGACCAATATGTTGAATTAGTGGGAGCCCTGAGCTTGTTTCTCCAAAACAAGCTGGTCCCATCTAGGCATAACCGGAGACAATGACACAAAGTGTGCTCCTGATGTCCAGTCTGCTCCGTAGCTTTGTTTTGGTCGCTCTAACCGCAGGAAATAGGATGCGGGTTAGGGTTATAGATAGGATGTTTCTTGACCTGAATTAACCTGTGTCATGAGGCACAGATGCGCCGACTGATGTAATTGGGAGAGATACCCCAATATTTTATAACTTTTTAAAATAAAACATCACTCAGACTCTGATCGTCGATAAATACATATATTTTTTTTTCTATGTGGCCCGGTACCAAATGACCGACGGACTGGTACCGGTCTGCGGCCCTGAGGTTGGGGACCGCTGGTCTACAGCATCAAACAAGGCTGATTTTCTCATTGTCAGGGGGGCTTAAAGGAATAGTACACCCAAAACATGATTAGTCTTCATTTTCTACTCACCCCCATGCTGAAAAACACTCTGGAGTACTTTTTTGATATCTCAAATGCATCTGGA